ACACACACACACACACACACACACACACAATGTTCAACAGATAGTTAAGTTTCTAAACTTTGAATACCACTGATGCAGAAATGATTTGACACTTAGCCCTAATAATGCATCTTAAAAAAAAAAAAAGCTTTCTCCAAGATTTTAAGATAAATAGGCTAACTAATTTTTCCTGTGCCATTGCTGATCAAAAAGACCAAGAATAAGTGAGGTTATTTAACCTAATAAAAGACATCCGTAGGCTTTGGAATTAGAGCTACCCTCTAAATAAGGTTCTATGTAGCTAATAAATAAAAATAGAAACCAAGACCATTTGGAAAGATTGGCCAGATTGCTTTAGAGAGCATAAAATTATTGTAATTCTTGCTTGCAAGGCTTACTCACAAGCTGTGTTTATGCTAGGATGTTTCCCCTAAAAATTTCCCATGGCTAGTATTAGTGGCAACAGTGCTGGGAACGAGGACAGACAGAGGCCCAGGAGCCAGTGGTTAGTTCCCCTCTCGCCCTCAAATTAAGTGCTGTTTTGTCTAGACCTGCTTCAAGGAGGGTATAAACACCAAAGGACTTAAAACACCTACAGCTGCTGGTGTTTCATTTACATTAGCATTCTCGTCAATGGAACTGCATCACTGTAAGCAACACTTGGAAGTGATACAGAACAAAACAAAAAACAAAATATTGACACAGCCATGCAGAAGCTACCATGCAAGTATATTTGAATTCTCCGGCTAGGCACTTTAAAAGTGAATATAGGATTTATATAGCATCCTTCATAGGAGTCATAGGTCAAAAGTCCTCATTTAAAAATATCTAATATTTACTAACACTTAAAAAGCAGGAATAAACCAGGTTTTTATTAGTTGATGTTTTAATGCCAGAACAGATTTGTGCATATTGATTTACAATATAAAAACAATTGCAAAATGCTTCGGTTCCCAGTCTCTCAAGGTCATAATTATGACAAACAGTACTGGATATACAAGTTATTCAGACCAGCAAGGACAACTAGAAGATAACGCTTGATAAGAAGATTTCCGTTAAGTAAAGATCCATCAAGTACAGACAGTCTTTCAGTAGTGCATTCAGCAGTTACCTGGAGTCTTTAAAACTGAACAAAAACTATAGTGGCATGATATTTGTAGCCTCATGTCATATAAAATAAAGTAGCTTGTTGGTCAAAGGGCCATTCTTCTCTTCCCTTACAAGCCAGGGACTCTGAACACAAGAGTGCCAAACCCATATGTAAAATATGCATTTATATTTTGGGTCTTTCTATGAACCATAATTGTAAGAATCCCCCTAAAAGGTGGAAGCCCCACCATACATTCTATCTACTACCTCCTGCATTCCCTCATGTATATATAAAAACAATGTAATATACTTTATGTATCTCAGTTTTGATCTAGTTTGTTGGCTTGCTCTCATCATTTCCTAAATTTTAGTGAGAATCTGAGAGATTTTATTGCTTCTGTATGTAGTCAGTCAATTTAAAACAAGCTCTTTACTTACAATTCCATGGAATTCTGCAACTTTCCTGCAAAGGTCAGGACGACGTTTCTGAATAGCCAAATAAAAAGGATTTTTCAAGAGATCTTCATCATACATAGCCATATGGACGTCAGAGATTCCAAAGATATTTTCTAGAAGAGATACAAGTGTTAATAGAATAGCTGTTTAACGTCTGTAATATTGTTTAGTTTTCATATTCAGATGTAATAACATTTGGGAATATAGAAGAGGATATTTTTGGTATACTTCCTTTCATGTTTTAGAGAAGTATAAACTACTCTCCTTATCTCACATCAAGATACAGAATATGTGGAGCTAACTCCAATATAAAGTGACTGATACAGAACCATGGAACTTCATGCAAAATTAGTCTTCATAACCAAAGATTTCCTATTACTATTATCCCTCCCCAGTTCTTCCAACTGTTACACCTACTTGTGTGTTAAGTTAGACTTTATGCTACTGGGGCAGGGACCATCCCTTCTAATAAAATCTGCACGCCACCTGTTTGGGGCCTGAGTGTTGCTATAACTGTAAATAGATGATTTCAAACAACCCAATCTACTTACTTTCAAGCAGTATTATAAAGAATTACTGCAGTATGCTGGCTGGAAAAACAAAAACACACACATGAACCTTTAAAACCTTCATTACTGCAGTAACAACTGGTGTATGAAAAACAAACCCTGAGAAGATAACACAACCACTTCTACCATTATTCTTTGTGTAAATTGCACAACAGTCATGCACAGGTATTTTCAGGACACTATCCTCAGCTATCAAGGGGAAAAAGTTACTTAAGGAAAAAAATTTCCATTATATGAAATAGTACATCTATTATGAACCAATTAATCAAAATTTCAAAGGAGGCACACAACCAATAGCTTCTGACTATAGCTGTCTAGGTCAGTGTTTCTCAAGCTTTTTGATACCAAGGACCAGCTTGCTGCCTTTCCTAAACTCTGTCAGGGAAATCCCAGGAACCCTCACTGGCCCATGAACTGGCTGTTGAGAAACACTGGTCTAGGTCATCTCTTTTAGAAATTAGCCAAAAACTAATCCCTACTTTCAAGCCTGCCCTTCTCCCCATGAATATGGGCTAACGGTGCTCTGAGACAGACACCACTGACAATAATTACAACTAATTAAGTGTCCCATTCTACCACACTTACTCGCTGTAAGGAATACCTTCCCTCCAGAAGTAATCCCATTGATTCAAGGTGAAAGAATTAGGCTCAGAGTCTAAAAACATATTTTACCTGATCTGTCATTAATACATTTGTGAACCAATCCTAATGAATTCAGGTTTTAACATTCAGTTTGTCTATGAGCTCATGTCTAATGGAAGAAGTCCAGAAATACAGTACGCTTTGGTAAAAATAAAAAGGTCTTTCTTATAACTAAACTAATGAATGGAATAAAATTTTGTTTCTAAAGACGCTAAAACCCCATGCGAGTTATGGCTTCCTAGGTTCTAATTCTCAACAGAAGTTCTACAGTACACGTTTTACAAACGTGAGGTTCAGTGACTCATAATGGGATGCCTCTGGAATGACTTCAGAATTTTTATTTTACATATAGGATGGAAAGGAGGTCAGTCAAGGTTACAAATGTCTGGGACGTAAATTCCTAATGTGTTAGATTGGAAAATCTGTTTCCCCCACCTTTATCCCTTAAACAGAACAACTACTGTAGCAGAGGAAACTACACTCCAAGATACCCTTTTATCAATGCTCTCAACCCAAACTTGAAGACTTTACAAGTTATTCTATGGTACGATGTCTTGGCAAGTCTACGCAATCCCCTTTGCAGAAGGTAACAGATGTTTGTAATGGGATCCCCAAGTTCAAAAGAGGCTAGACTTAAGACCAACATTTCACTCAAAAGAGGAACTCAGCATGGAATCTGGGCACTATCCACAACATTTAAAGGATATTTTTGTTTTAGGTGAGCTTTCCTAACTTTATCACCTATTTTTAGGGAAATTAATAAAAGTGCAATTCACTCACAGTTTTCAATTTGACAAAGGTCATCTGGGGAAATGCATTTACATGCACCAGACAAACATCAGAACAGTTTGAAGAGCTGTGCCCATCTACAACAAATCTATATCAGATATCTTTAGCAGCTGTTCCAGCTCACTTTCTATCACTGTTCACAAGGCCACAGAGAAAAATAGCAACATGCTCCATGTTAAAATACAAGTTATTATGGCCAGAGCTTTTGAGTTGTGCAAACTGTCAGAGCATATAACGTGACAGTTACATTAGTCCTGTCACCACATTCCTTCATATTGTTCATTACACACTTGTTTCTTCCTGTCTCAAGTTAGAATGCAAGCTCTTTGGTACAGAGACAATGTCTTAAGTGTTTGTACAGTCTGATTGGCGCCTATAAGCACTACTGGTTATAAACACAGTAGGTCAGAGGCACTCTATAAAAAGTAAGTCTATTTTACCAAGTATCTGAGGGGTAACCATGTTAGTCTGAATCTGTAAAAAGCAACAGAGGGTCCTGTGGCACCTTTAAGACTAACAGAAGTATTGGGAGCATAAGCTTTTGTGGGTAAGAACCTCACTTCTCCAGATGCAAGTGAAGAAGTGAGGTTCTTACCCACGAAAGCTTATGCTCCCAATACTTCTGTTAGTCTTAAAGGTGCCACAGGACCCTCTGTTGTCTATTTTACCACTTATTTTGGAATCAATTTTTCCTAATTCCAATAAAAAAACATAGTACATACACATAAAAAAATAATTTTCTAGTACAGTACTGAATAGACCATGAAGAAAAAACAAAATGGCACTATTCACTTAGTGTATGAGGATAAAGGATGAGATATTTATTCTAATTATTATTTTAAGTTTTTCTATATGTACAGCATACAACAGGTCACTTATTGCTCTGGGTCAGGGGTCGGCAACGTTTGGCACATGGCTCGCCAGGGTAAGCACCCTAGCGGGCCGGGCCAGTTTGTTTACCTGCTGATGCGGCAGGTTCGGCCAATTGCGGCCCCCACTGGCCGCAGTTCGCCATCCCAGGCCAATGGGGGCAGCGGGAAGCCGCGGCCAGCACATCCCTCGCCCGTGCCACTTCTCACCGCCCCCATTGGCCTGGGACGGCGAACCGCGGCGAGTGGGGGCTGCGATCGGCCAAACCTGCCGCGTCAGCACGTAAATAAACTGGCCCGGCCCGCTAGGGTGCTTACCCTGGCGAGCCGCGTGCCAAACGTTGCCAACCCCTGCTCTAGGTACTCTTTCAAGAACCTTTAGAGTTGAATTACTTATGCTATCCCAATGTATCTACCCTCTTTCTCCCGCATTAAACATTTTCTTCATTATATGCAGTTGCAGTCTTAACATATTGTTAATTAATAAAATGCTAGATGTTCTCTTATTTCTCTCATACTTTCACACTGTTCATATTAGTGAGCTATGAAATATTCCCCCACTTCATTTCTTGGTTGTATACCATGCTGGCAGAAGGACAAAGCCTCTTTCCTTTGAGGCTCCCTAGGGTCCAGGAAGCGCATGTGACAGCAAGATGTGAGTTTCCAAAACAGATAGTGTAACCAGAGGCGAAGAGGCAGCTACACTATGCATCAGATGTAGCCTTATGATCCTATACCAGACTGAGAGCTCCCCCTATTCTAGGCAGAGTTAGTACAGGTCTGTCGCATCTTACGCACATTTAACATGCGCGATTTCAGCTTTACACGGTTGGCAAAAACAAAAACAAAACAAACTAAGAGAGAAAAACAACAATTTTAATACTGTACCTGTAGTGCAGGCGATTCCGCCCGCCATTGAACTCAATGTAATTTTGACTATACGCGGTTTTCACTTTACGCGCTAACCGCAGAATGGAACCCCCGCGTAAGATGAGACAGACCTGTAATGCAGCCTATAACTCAGGTTGCCTGATACTTGGCATTGCAAGACCCTGTTTTCAGTTGCTTATAACTCTGTCAAAGGATAACCATTCAGGCTGAATTTTTCCATGCTGGGTATCTGCCTGGGGCTGAACTTCTTCAAAAAGCTTCAGCTAAGATAGTTCAGCTGTTCCCAAAAATTAGATTAGGGTAATTTTTTTTGTAAATGTCCTATAGCTGTTT